AGATAAGGGTTTTCCTCAAAAAAAAAAAGATGAACAAAAAATAAATAAAAAGCAAAGAGATGTAAGGTAAAATATTAAGCATAAATAAACCATTGATTTGAGAAAATGTTTGAATTTTGTTTCTTAGTTCATGTTTTTGAATGTTTGGCTTTTCGGACCCTTCAGACCCTCACATCCTCCCATCACCCCCACCTTCCATTGTGCTGGAAGGAGCGTCTGATCAACCTGCTGCAGAAAGTTTCTGAGCAAGAACGGAAGTCGCTATTACCAGGATTTCAAAATAAAACAAGTGGAAGGTGTTGTCAAGTAGCGTTTCCCGTTCTACGGAAAGTGACAAATTTATTTTTATGACATATGAAGTTGAGATTCATTTTATGTAATTTTTAAAAATTTTCTACGATAACTGATACAGATGACTTAATGTAGCTCTTACCTTTTTAATAAAACATTTCAAATGTAACATTTCAAATGTAATTATAATATCTATTAAGTGGAGGATCAGCATGACTCAATAAAATGTGATTTTATTTCACACGTCTATTCCTCCCAGTATTGTTTTAGTTAAGTAAAGTTTTATTTTGAAGGTCACTACCGGAAATGACTTGATTTGTTTCTGTGAACTTGACGCTCGCGCCTGCCTCCACTGTTGTCCGCGAGCCCGAAGAAGCGTCGTTCAGAGATGAGACGGAGGAGAAAAAACAACGTCGTTCGTCCAGAAACTTTAACAAACTTCACCTGCGGGCTCCGGAAATCCATTTTTACCGACATGAGGTGGATTTTCATCGCTTGTCTGGCGGGTAAGAGTCGCCGAGGAGACGGGAAAATGACGGCAYAAAGTCGGCAACAGGTTGTTGAAACTTGGGAGTAAAATAACGGTAAATCAGCGATGAAGTTGTGGCTAAAGAAAGCTAATGTGGCTAACAGCTAATATTTAGTCATGTGTGAAAGATTTGACCTAAAGCTTTGAGGGATTAGCAGGGCTGACTTCAGATTTATTTAATCTGTGTCTGAAAAGAATTTACCTTCTTTGTCTGGAGACAAAAAAATACCTCAAAATTAAATTAAATTTGATTCATAGACCAGATTAGGCAAATATAAAATATATAAATTATTAAACGTTTGTGACGTCATCAATCTTGCTTTAGCATAAACTTAATCTGTTAGCATGAAAATAAAATAATAAAAACTGTTGCATGAAGCACATAACACTGATTTACAGCCAGCTGTGATAAAACAAACTTTATTTGTTCAGCAAACTGATTAAAACATAAAAACATGAAAGAGAAACAACAAGCAAGCAGATAAAACACATTTAAGGTCATTTAAAACAGAAAAAAGATTTAAGCACTGAAGCTGAAGGAACAAAAAATAAAAATTATATAAACAGAATTATTAAAAGTAAGGATTATAAAATAAAGGAGAAAATACAAAATTAATTACTGTTGTTTTTCTAAACATAAATACAAAAGCAGTAAAATAAATTTAAAAAGTTGTTTGAGCACATTTATTTAAAAAGTTTAAAAAAAACTGAGTCAAATTTAAATGTTTTCATTTCAACTTAAAATAACTGTAGACATTTAAAAGCAAAGCTTACAGCCTGGTTCAGCTGTGTGAAGCTCTGCAGAGAAACACCTGGTAACTGCATTCAGGAAAATAACAATATTGTCTTTTACATTTTCAATTTGTTTATTTTGCTGCATCGAATCAATCATTTAAAATTTTAAAATGATTTAAAATCTATTTTTATATTAGCCAAAGATTGTTTTACTTCAAAATAAATGAGCTATGTGGATTTCTGTGGTTCTTATTTTAATTGTTTTAAAAACTCACGGTGCCTTCCTGATGAACTACAGCGACACTAACATTTATCTAGATTTATGAGCTCATCATTCTTACTTGGTAAAAATARTTGTCTTTTTATCAGGTTTATCTGTTATTTTTCACCTTCAACAGTTTGTTCGTGTTCAGTTTTAACGACAGTTTAATTATTTAAAGGAGACATATGATGGAAAATATACTTTTTAGGCTGTAAACACATTTTGTTGTGTGCTTGAGTCCAGGCAGAAAGCTGACTTTAGTCTCTCCTGGTCCTGTGTAAATGTCTTTATGTTCTCTTGGGTCAGATTTTACAACCCGTTCAGTTTTCTATATTTTCTTTGATGTTTTCTGAACTATTGGGTCAAATAATTTGTGACAGAACTTCTAAATAAGTTCTGGACTTATTGGTTCTAGTTGTAGTTCTGGGTCAGACATCATGTCAGACTGGATGGACAGTAGGGCTGCCACAAACGGTTATTTTTATAATCGATTAATTACCGATTATTTTTTCCATTAGTCGACTAATCGGATCATACGTTAATTGAATATAAAACATATATAAAACATATAATATATATATAAAAGAGCTTATCGTGCCAGAATGCAGCTGCTATTATATAACCATSGTTAGATTTTAGCTATATGCTAACTAAAAATAATTGCTGTGGAAGGTAAGTTCTGCTCTGCAGATATTACACAGGTTTCTCTTTCATTTTCTTCAAATGATCCCACACTTTGAGCTCTGTTGTCAGGTAGCCATGATACCAGAGCCTGTCTGTATAATGTCTTGTGACGTCCACGGCCTACCCCAGTTACCACTACTGTGCATGTGTGTCAAGGACAGAAAGGCAGATGTGGCAGTGGAAAGTGTCAAAGCAGTTTGGAGAGAAAAACAAAGTAAAGAACAAAAAAAGAGAAATCGATTAATTGATTATTAAATTAGTTATCAATTATTTTAATAATCGATTAGTCGTCGATTAATCGACTAATCGTGGCAGCCCTAATGGACAGGTCTTCTCTTGTTCACATTTTTAATGAATTTGTAAATAAAACATTTCTGTGCAGCTGTACAGTCCTAAACCCCTCTATCAAACTGGAATGAACTGGTTTGGAAGRTGGAGGAGGGTCGAAGTGTGAAGCACCTCCTTTAGATCTAAAGAGACAGCCTCAAAGCGAGTTATTCTGAGGCACACCTTAAGGGCTCGACACACGGGCAGCGACAAACTACAGCGATTAACGGCTGTCATCGCAGCCAGGGTGAAACCCGACACACGGGACGTGATAGCGATCGCAGCGTTGCGAATCGCGCTCTCAGGTCGCTTGTCTTCACAAAATTTGATTGGTTCTTGACTCTGAAGGCGGGTGTGCATTACGGACGTGTAAACTAAACAAATCTTGTGATGCTAATGATATTGAAAAACAAACACACATCAAGATACAGTTTTATGAGGAAAAACTTACCATAAACTTCACCCTGGTGCCAATAAATTCCCACAAAGCTTTTTAGTAATCACTTGGTGAAAGTGTTAGCTAACGGCAGTGTGTAGCATACTCTCCTCTCATTGGTCAGCCAATGAAACCCTCGCTGATTGGTTGTACGCTAAGCGACAGCGACAAAAGTTGAACATTTTTCAACTTTCATATGTCGCGTCGCAAGCTCGCGTGTGCACGTGTACGTGTACGAGCGCGAAATTTCACATGCACTATTTTCACCGGTCGCTTAGCTGGAGGAGGGCAAGAGATTGTCGCCTCACCGCACAGGCTCCATAGGAAATGAATGGAGAGAGAGCGACGTCGCCTCCCGTGTGTCGAGCCCTTCAGAAAGTGGGCAGGGCTTGTGGCACTCCATAGAATGGGCGGGGCTTGTGTGTTACAATAAGGAGGAATTCAGACCAAAACACTGCAGTGCCACTTTATAGACCCAAATAAAGGATTCAAATTTGGAAAAAAAGGATTTAAAAACATTGTTTGTCTCCTTTAATAGTAAATATTTATTTTATTTTATTAGAACAATGACCATAAAGAGACATGTCAACAAATTCAAGTTTTTAAGTTTGGATTTTTCAATGTTTTTAACTTTGTAATCAAAAAACATTTCCACAGCCTTATTTCTTTTCTTATCAAAGGTAGTTTTATTAATTTATTAAAAGTTAAATCTTCATTATGTGGAAAAAGAAAAATCGAATGCACAAAGTTGTCTTTCCTGTAGAAACAACTTTTACTTTTAGTTTCTTGGAACAGATTAGTGTTTCCTCCACCCAAACTCCCCCAGGTCCGTGAGGAGCAGCAAACAGAACTGTTCTGGTTCTGTTGCAGAGACCCGCCCCTCGTGTTTCTCCTCACATCAGGTTCAGATTATCTGCACCTCCTGCTGACACAGACCCACCCTGCAGCAGTGCTTGGGGTGGGTCTGCATTTTTCTTTTCTTCACATCCACTCCTCAGGACCTCTGCTGACCCGAGCGTCAGGTGACCCGGAGCCCACGGTAACACKAGGACACGTTTCAGCTCCACTTCCATCATAGTTCTGGTCTTCTTCCCAGACGAGACGCTGATTTATTGATGCAGAATATTTCCACGTGTTTATCCTGAGGTTCTGTTTCTCCTGCCAGCACCAGGTGTTCTGAGGGGATTGTGTAATTCCCTGCAGGAGTTTACAGTCAGGAGGAGTTCGATCCTCCTCAGCCTAAAAGTCGTCAGGGATTACAGACGGTCCAGGATTGTTCTGACCTTCACTCTGACCTTCATCCTCTCTGATCCACAGGTGTGTTCGCTCCGTCCTGCTCAGGTGTTCACGTGTTTGTGAGCGACGAGAAGAGGTACGCCGTGCCGTTCCAGTCGGTGGTCCTGCCCTGCCACTACACCACCGTGTCCACCCAGACCGTCGTGGTTCAGTGGGTCTACAAGTCCTACTGTCGAGACCCAACCAGGGACTCGTTCAGCTTCTCCGACCAGGGAGGGGGCGCGCTGCAGGGAAACGTGGTGAAGGGCGGGGTCCGCGGGACGGGTCTGACGCCGAGRTACCTGGACTGCTCCGACAGCAGCCGGACCGTTCGGACCGTGGCCTCCGTCTCTGGATCCTCWCTGACTCTGTCAGAGTTCTACAAGACCAGAGACATCTCCATCATCAACGGTAAGATGTAGGCTGCAGCTAACCATTGTTTTAATAATTCATTAATCTGATGATTATTTTTTCAATTAATCGGCCAAATCATTAAAACGCTTAATTACATAAGTAGATAAAAACTAATTTCATTCCTGTATAAATTAAGGATGCAAGTTAT